ATCGTACACGGAGGTCAGCTGACAGACTCTTTCGAGGTGAAGACCGGTGTCAGGCAAGGTTGCTTACTCTCACCCTTTCTCTTTCTCCTGGTCATCGACTGGATTATGAAAACGTCAACATCTGGAGGGAAGCACGGTATCAACTGGACAGTTAGGACGCAGCTGGACGATCTGGGCTTCGCACACGCAACAACAAATGCAAGAGAAGACGACCAGTGTAGCAGCAGCCTCTGCAGCAGTAGGTCTCAACATACATAAAGGAAAAAGCAAAATTCTCCGATGCAACACAACATACACCAACCAAATCACTCTTGATGGAGATGCCTTGGAGGACGTTAACACCTTTATATATCTTGGCAGCATCATCGACGAGAAAGGTGGATCGGATGCAGATGTGAGGGCACGGATTGGCAAAGCAAGGGCTGCATTTCTACAGTTGAAAAATATCTGCAACTCCAAACAACTTTCAACCAAAACCAAAATCAGGATTTTCAATACAAATGTGAAGACAGTTCTACTGTATGCGGTAGAAACTTGGCGAACTACGAAAGCCATCATCCAGAAGATACAATTGTTCATTAACAGTTGTCTACGCAAAATACTTCGTATTCGTTGACTAGACACCATCAACAACAACGTACTGTGGGAGAGAACAAATCAGATTGCAGTGGAGGAGGAAATCAGGAAGAAGCGGTGGAATTGGATAGGACACACACTACGAAAAGCACCTAACTGCCTCACAAGACAAGTCCTCAGATGAAACCCTCAAGACAAAAGGAAAAGAGGAAGGTCAAGGAACACATTACGCCGAGAAATAGAGAAAGATATGAGAGGAATGAACAAACATTGGACAGAATTGGAGAGGGAAGCCCAGGACAGAGTTGGTTGGAGAAAACTGGTGGGCAGTCTATGCTCCATTGGGGGTAACAGGCGTAAGTAAATAAGTAAGTATAAGAAATTAGACAATAAAATTATCACGACTGAACACATAAGTTTTGTGCTCAATTATGCCGATGAATATTTTAAGCACTATTTGCAAAAGTATTTGTTATTTCATTGAAATTGTCTTTCTAGTGCTGTGTAAATCCAAACGATTGAACAAATCAATATCTGCCGCAAAGAAATTTTTGCTTAAAGTAAATCAATCAATTAAGATGGATGGAAAGGAACAATCTGTGAGACACCATTTTATGTAATCGCTTCGATTTCATATACACTGGTGTTCGCTATCACTCTTGAATTTGAACTGACAGTTACGTCTATGTGGTGACGTGGTATGGCAACTTGAACTGATGTACTTATGTAGGAAGTTCTGTGTTGTATCTGTCTGTCTGTCTGTCTGATACACTGGTTTGAACAAATGAGAAATCAAAATATGTATAAAGAACAAATAATGGAGCTGATAATAAGGAAAAAGCACAGTAACAACAATAAAAAAAGTGAGAAAAGATAGCCAATCAAAGTCTCTTTGAAGTTCAAATAAGATGACATTCAATAGCATAGCCTATGATCAACTATTAATGACTTCAATAGTCAGTCAGTCAGTCAGTCAGTCAGTCAGTTACAACGTAGAACTTCGTATGTAGGTACATCAGTTCATGTTGCCATACCACATCACCACAGAGATATAATTGTCAATTCAAATCCAATAGTAGTAGAGGTAGTAAAGATATTAGAAGTAATCGCAGAGGTTAGGATTAGAAGATATTATTCAAGAAGTATGATTTAATGAGAAAAGTCTAGAAATAAAAAACTAGAGGGGTTGAACAATCCAGAAGATTAGGATTTGAGAGAGCACAAAGAATGAATGCATTTTCTCCATTGCAAACGATTTTGAGACATGTCATACAGGGTTTATAACCATCGATTATTATCATCTCGCGGACCACAACCAGGTAGTCGTCAATTACCGTCATGGCTAAGTCCACTCGTCAATGACTTCATGGATTTCTGCCATGTTTTGGTTTGGCCGCCCCTAGCTTTCTTCTAACACTCCGGATCTCCAAGATGCACATCTTACTACTGAGTACTGACTATTCGCAAAAAATTTAAGTTCAGAGATTTTTGTCAACAACCTTAAATCACTTGACATTATCACACTATTAATAAGAGTGATAAGATCAAAGTTTACGATTTGTAAATATATAACTCGCCATGGAACAGACAAGATCTGATCACTGTATAAACTATAATACTATTCAATCTTAAAACATGTATATATAAATTTATTTATATAACAAAAACACTTCTTACCAATATGTCTTCTAGTCATTTCAACTTGTAATGGTCGATTCACATGACTTAAACTGCCTAAACTGAATCGATCAGAACGATAACATGGTTCAGTAAAACCATCAATAGTTAATGTTGGTCGACCAGCATGAAATGCATCACCAACACGTGTATTTAATTCATAATAAAATACACTACACCAATATTGTACATCGGAAAAAGTGAAATCTAATATAGGCGGCGGTGTTGTATTTGAATCCAATAGTAAATTATCAAATTCTTCAGAAGAATGAAAATGACTAGGAGAACTTTGATCATCATCATTTGAACTAATTTGTTCATTAAAATGTTTTTCTATAGAAAATAAACGAAGCATACATAATGAGAACACATGTTGGAATTCAAAACAAAAGAAAACAACTGAGTTTTAAGAAAGTAGAAAAATGGAAATTGTGAAAACATTCCGATGAACATCACTGGTCGAGTGAGAGCATACGGCGAACTGTCATCTGAATTCTCTACATCAAGTGGTGTCCGTCAAGGCTGTTCACTCTCTCCATTCTTGTTTAACTTTGTCGTAGACATCCTCTTAGAGTTAACATTAAGCTCGTCAGATTTTTGAGGGGTTGACCTTCTACCAGGTGGCTCGCTTATTGACTTAGAATATGCCGACGACATAGTCCTACTTGGTGAAGACGCTGACAAAATACAGAGTCTTCTGACTACCCTAAGCAACAATGCTAGCATGTTCGGTATGCGGTTTTCCCCCTCGAAATGCAAAATATTGTTTCAAGATTGGGTTGCATCGGCACCTGAACTAGTGATAGGGAGTGAAGTAGTCGAGAGTGCTGATCGCTTCACTTATCTGGGTATTCTCATCAGCGCTGATAGCCTGGTGACTGACTAATTCTCAGCTCGGATACAGAAGGCTCGATTGGCTTTTGCCAACCTGCGTCACTTATAGCGTAGGCGTGATATCCGGTCGCTTGCGCAGCAGTTCGCTCCGTTCTCTTATATGGATGCGAAACATGGCCGTTAAGAGTAGAAGATATTCGTGGGTTACTAGTATCCGATCATAGATGTTTAAGAAGCATTCCTTGTGTATCGTGGGACAACCGTATAAGCAATGCTGTCGTTAGGAAACGGGTGCTACGTAAGGATGGCATATCAATTGATGAAGTGCTGAAACTTCATCAGTTGAGATGGTTGAGACATGTGTTACGTATGCCCAACCATCGACTACCTTTGTTTTGTAGTGTAGGAATAGGTTGGAAGAAAATTAGGGGCGGCCAGACCAAAATATGGCAGAAATGCATGAAGTCACCAACAACTGGACTGAGTCATGTTAGTAGATGTAGGCTACCTGGTTGGGGTTCGCGAGACTATAGTTATCAATGGTTAGAGACCTTGAACGACATGGCTCAAAATCGTTTGCAATGGCGCAAGTGCATCCATTCTTTGAGCTCTCTCAAATCCTAATCTTCTGGATTCGTCAGCACCTCTACCTTTGTCTTCTAACCTTATCTCACTGAATTATACTTCTTGAATATCTTCAAATCCTAGTCTTCTTCATTACCATTAATAACTCTACTATCTTTATCACTATGGGATTTGATTTGACATTTGAGTCTCTGTGCTAATGTGGTATGGCAACATGAACTTATGTACATACGTACGAAGTTCTACGTTGTAACTGACTGACTGAGGTAGATAGATAGATAATAGAGTGTCTATTTCACTTGTACCACTGTCTTCGCTGCTCTACATACTTATAACGTTTAGTCACCATAATTCATTTGTATTGGTTAATTGAATCTTTTCCACGATCGATAAGTCCCCTTTAGTACATTCGCCTCCTGTGTGGATTGCTTTGATATTGCTATTAAATTACAAGCATCATTAGCAGAGATAGCTGACAGCTAACAGTGGAATCCAGGAAGGGCATTTCATCCCATTTGGGACTCGTCATCTGGATGGATTAAGCTTCACTACATTGCACAGACGACTGGCTATTTTGGCTCAGTAGCTAAGTGGATAGATAACGCGATAGCGTTTAAAGTGGACGGTATTCAGTTCGATTCCCAGGGTGAACATCAACTCTAGGATGCAGGTGACCAATCTCAAATGCGCGTTCTGGATTCTACTGCCAAATACCATTCATCTTTTCTAGTTTAGTCAGTATATCTAACTGTTGTAAAGAACAACGAAAAACGCTAACCTGACTCAAGTATACAGCAGAACATGATTATGATTTATCAAGTAGACGCTGATGTTGGTGAACTAAACCGATACGCTGACGGATAATCCGAAGCCAATGGCGGTTTAATAATTTTTGTTTACCACAAGTCAAAAGTAGATTATCATCTACACATCACTCACTACATCTATTATTTCAACGTACAAATTACTACTGACTGCAACCGGTTTAAATAAACAAAAGTTCATAAACGAGGCTTTGACCTGATGATATAAGTTTTGAACCTGTTATCAACAATTTGAAAAAAATCATGTTTTAACAAGACAATAAATAAACACTAAGTGACATTATCTCTGTTAGTGTTAGTGTTAGAATTGATCATCGATTAGAATTTGGCTACAGTATTGCAAATGTTGTAAACAGTAATAAATAAAAAAGCATTAGTGTAGTGAACGAGAACACAGGTAGGGCAACCGAAGTGTATTTAACGAAATTACAGAGTTACTCAGTAAAATAGGAAAACCATATCATAAATCGTTCATTTGCAAAATATCAGTTCATCATATCGAACTGGACTGTTCCTGTTGCAAAACATCAATCCATTGTCACTATTCATGCGTTTCATACAAATTCCATTGTGTTCTAACTCTTCCTTTCTTGATCTTCCCCAATCTTCTGCTGCCAGACATTATGTTGACACTCAAGTCATATACTACTTATAAGTAGCTCACACCACACTAGTACACTGCTCTATTCAATTTTTTTTTACAAATTAAGTTGCAATTAAAATAATAATGATGATGTATTTAGCTAACCACCAACTATGATGTTTTTAGAATAAAAATTATCGACAAATGCTAAATAGTAATAGTAATAATAATAATAATAATAATAATAATAATAATAATAAACATACCAGAACTGGATGAAATTTTTCGATTTAATAATTTATTTTGATTATCTAATGATGATGATGAATTATTTATATTGTGATTTGGTGTTGTTGTTAATGAATTTCTACGTGATTTATTATTATTATTATTATTCATCATTCCTAAATGATTATTATTATGATTAACTGGTATAGTAGTGTTAGTAGTACTAGTATTAGTAGTAGTACTACGTTCAGTTAATGAGAAAGGACCATTCATTGTTTTGTCTGCAGATGCTTTCACTAAGGCAGCTGCAATTAAAGCGCCTTGATTAGTGATTGGTGTGAGTGTTGTTGGTGTTGCTGATGTTGTTGTTGGTGCTGCTGTGGTCAGTGATGATAATGATGATGTTGAAGTGGTATTTGTATAATGTTTAGTATCTGATTCATAATTCTTATTGTTATGAATAATAGGAGTGGTAGTAGTGGTAGTAGTAGTAGTAGAAGTAGTAGTAGAAGTGGTTGTATTAGAAGAAATAGTACTGGAAGTGACAATACTACTGATGTTTTTCTTATCTGCATCATAACAATCAGTGAAAATTGAACCTAAATATTAAAATAAATGAAATCATACTGTATAATAATACGCCTTAATTTTGATAATAATCTTTAGTGTTTAATTTTAAACTATTATATTAACTCTCAAACTAATTCTTATAAGTTATAATATAAAATCAAACATTAGAATAGAGATTTAGACACTTCTTTAAATTGATAGGAGAAAAAACAACAACACTAAACTCCTATTGAAAAGTAAAATTTCTTAGATTTATTGAAAAGCACACGTCAGCCAGTCAGTCAGATGCAACGTACAATTTCGTACGTAAGTACATCAGTTCATGTCGCCATACCACATCAGCACACAAATATAATTGTCAATTCAAATCCAATAGTAGGAGAGGTAGTAAAGGTATTCGAAGTAATCGAAGAGGTTAGGATTAGAAGATATTATTCAACAAGTATGATTCAGTGGGAAAAGTTTAGAAAGTTGACGAATCCAGAAGATTAGGATTTGAGAGAACACAGAGAATAAATGCACCGGCGCCATTGTAAACGGTTTTGAGCCATGTCATTCAAGGTCTCTAACCACCGATTATCATCTCGCGGACCACAACCAGGTAGTCGACAATTACCGACATGGCTAAGTCCACTCGTCAATGACTTCATGGATTTATGCCATGTTTTGGTTTGGCCACCCCTAGCTTTCTTCCAACCTACTCCTACACCACAAAACATAGCTCGTCGAGGCAGTCGATGGTTGGGCATACGTGACACATGCCTCAACCATCTCAACTGATGCAGTTTCACTACTTCATCTATTGATCTGCCATCCTTACCTAGTACCCGTTTCCTAACAACAACATTGCTTACCCGGTTGTCCTAGAATACACGAAAAATGCTTCGGAGACACCTATGATCGAAAACCAATAACCGACGAATATCTTCTACTCTCATTGGCCATGTTTCACAGCGATAAAGTAAGACGGAGCGAACTACTGCTCAGTACACTCGTCCTTTAATCACCAAACGGATATCTCGCCTTCGAAATAAGTGACGCAGGTTGGCAAAAGCCAATCGAGCCTTCTGTATCCGAATTGAGATTTCGTCAGTCACCAGGCCATCAGCACTGATGAGACTCCCAAGATAAGTGAAGCGGTCTACACGTTCGACTACTTCACTCCCTATCACTAGTTCAGGTGCCGATGCAACCCAATCTTGAAACAATATTTTGCATTTCGACGGGGAAAACCGCATGCCGAACATGGTTGCATTGTTGCTTAGGGTAGTCAGAAGACTTTGAATTTTGTCAGCGTCTTCACCAAGTAAGACTATGTCATCGGCATATTCTAAGTGTAGTGCATACTCAAGCACTTGGTGAATGAGTTAACTTATCATTTGCTTTTTATTACAGCTGAACGAGAATACAAAAACGAAGCAAGTTAGCATTGTTGAAACAAAAATAAGATTTTTTTAAATACAGAGTAATATAATGTGAAATATCAATCAACATTAAAGTCACAATTTTAAACATTGATGTCAAAACAATTTTGTAGTATGGAGTTGAAACTTGGGAGCATTGCGCTACAATCAATAGTACAAGTGTTTAGAGACAGCTAGTTGTCTTCACAAGATACTCTACGTCTTTTATGTAGTTATGTAGTTATGGAGATTGGTGTTTATTATTGAAAGAGGTGACCAGTAGTGGAGCTGAACCATGTCGGGTGTAAATAAGTGTAAGTAATTCGAATCAAAGGATAATGAGTTATGCTTAATAAGTCAAGTCATCCCACTACTTGAATGTTACACTTAATAAATTTATCAAGTACACATATATGTGTGTTTGGAAAATCTACTTTGAGGCATTATTTTCATTTTAAGCCTAGCACTGTTACTCGGTTGTCGAAACCGAATACGGGTTCTAACTCGAGACACTCATGCATGCACTAATTTTTATTTAAAGAACAAAATATGCATTGTAAGTTTTAATACCATCTAGTATATTAGATAGACCTTAGTGATAGGTTCTAGGCCTTGCATGACCTACTCTCAATGGAGAGGTAACAACCATGGAGAACAATTGGAAGGGGATCAAAAAGGCAATCACTTCAACATGTCAGGAGATTCTGCGTCACAAGAAATACCATCATAAGGAATGGATCTCTGTTGGTAACCTTGAAAAAATTAGAGAAACGAGGAACACGAAGGCAGCAATCAATATTAGCTGAACAAGAGCAGAGAGAGTCAAAGCACAAGCTGAATGCACAGAGGCAAACAGTCAAGTGAAGAGGAGCATCGAAGCTGACAAACGTAAATATGTGGAAGATCTAGCAATGACGGCGGAAAAAGCTGCAAGAGAAGAATGAACGAAAGTTGGACAGAATTGGAAAGAGAAGCCAAAGACAGAGTAGATTGGAGAATACTGGTGGGTGGACTATGCTACACATTGGGAGTAACAGGCGTAAGTAAAATATATTAGCAATAATCAACAGGTAAATACAGGAAATTCAAAGGCATCGTCTATTCATGGGACCTCTTTTTGCCTAATGCAATTGATTAATCCAGTCATGAATATTAATAACGAGTATATATTTCTTGATTAATAATAGTAATAATAATATTACTACTACTACTAATAATAATAATAATAACGATATAAATAATTCAGAAATAACAATCATAACAAACGCTGTTTATTTTAATACTCGAAGAATATCCTTCATGCAAAATAATGTTGTAAAACTTTGATTTAAATAGAGAAAATCTTTTACGAATAATCAATTATTCTCTTAACATTATTATTATTTATACTCGTTTTCGATCCACTTCATTAATCAAAATATATTTTCATGGAAGAGCTTTGTGTTTCTAAGTATGATCATATCATATATAAATATAAAATACATATATATATTTGAATTTTTACTGAAGTTAAAAAGGATTAGGATGAATAGCCGCCTTAAATGGAATTCGAGAGAAAATAATGAACAGTACACAAAGTATCGAGGGTAGAATTTGTCATTTTTTTAATCCTGACAGTAAGTAATTGCAATTCATTCTACTTGATGACGAAAGTCACTAATGGTTAGAGACCTTGAACGACATGGCTCAGAATGGTTTGCATTGGCGCAGGTGCATCCACTGTTTGTGTTCTCTCTAATTCTAACCTGAATTCCTCGTAACCTCTGCCTTTCTCCTTCTAAATTTATCTCACTGAATTATACTTTTCGAATCATATTTTCGCTCCCCAATCTTCTCCATTACTGCTAATAATTCTAATATCGTTATCACTGTTGGATTTGAACTGACAGTTGCCTCTTTGTGTGCTGATGTGTTATGGCAACCTGAACTGATGTACTTATTTACGAAGTTCTGCGTTGTATCTGTCTGTCTGTCTGTCATTCTACTTAATACCATATACAGACAACAGGAATATTATAAGTATAAATTCTTAATGATTAAGTAATGCTATTTTTTTTGTAATTCATAATCATAGTTATTATTAGTTGTATTTCTATTTGAATAGAGATATGCAGTCGTTTATACAGTATATGAATGGATTTGTTTCGGTGACACTAGTAAAATGTACTTTTTATGAATGATATACAAAGTATGCGTACGGTTTACACTGTTTAAGATGATGATATTTCAGCTTATTTCTCAGAATGACTTAATAGAGAGAACACACAAGCGTGCACTGATTACGTCCCCCATTTTAGAAAAGAATGTGGTGATTTCTAAACAGTTAGTTTCTAATATTTCCTTTTCATGCTATTTACAAGAAACAATCAAACATTCCAACATGTTTATGCTAACACCTGCTATACAATCTTTGTTCATTCACAATGAGAGAGAAACCAGAGTTATTATTTATTAAAAAAGGTATTTCAGATCCTTATTTTTCAGCAAGACCTATTTGAGTTGATTTTCACTTTTAATAAAAATGCTTACGTAATATCAGAGTATTCTAATTGAAATAATTAGTTAGTATTCATATTAAGTATGGTCTTTATTCGTTGTAAGTTAGTGATGCTTGTATTTATTGTGCCTAAACCTAAGAATTCTAATGACATTAAGTATCCGCCATGTTTTATACGTTCAATAAAGTGTTGTATCCAAACTTTTTAGCTGTTTTTCAGTTTACTTATTCGAAGAGTACTAAAAATTGATGTGATTTTCATTAGGAATTCTATTTAAGCAACTAAATTTCACTATATTGGTGCTTTCTATTAGGTTTTTTAAGGTTGTAGACTGGTAAAACAAACTCTAGATGCTTGAAAAGTTTTTAGTGAAAATTGAGCTTCAGATTAAACAGTCAATGAAAGGGGAAATGGTTGAATGTGCTGGATGAAAAAATATATATTGAACATTGAAAACGTTGTGAATATGGTTAACTGCTAGGACTCGACCTGCGTTTTAAAAAATCCTCGCCACAAATTACGCCCGTTGCCCCTAATGAACCAACCATAGGCCACAGACAAACACTCTACAACAACTCTGTACTGAGCCTTCCCTTCCAGTTCTACTCAAGTGCTCTCCACTTTGCGTATTTTTTTGGTCTACCTCTTTTCCTTTGGCCCAACTTAGGGTTTGCCTCGTAATCCAGTAGAGTGATCTCCACGATGTTTCTTATCTACTTCCATCATCTTTTCTTAATTTTCTTCTCAGATGAAAGTTGGTTTGCCCTCTCATACAGTAGGTTGTTGCTGATGGTGTCTGGTCAGTGGATCCGAAGTATATTAAGTGGATGATGGCTTTCGTAGATCTCCAACTTTCCGCTGTATGCAATAGAACAGTCTTGACGTTCGTACTGAAAATTATCAGTTTGGTGTTGGTTGACAGTTGCTGTTGGTTACATATGTACTTTATTTGTAGAAATACTGCCCTTGCTTTGTCAAACCATGTCTTCACATCTGCATCAGATCAACCTTGTAAATCAATGATACTGCCCAGATGTGTTGTTCTATGTGTGTTAGAAGGGCTAGGTGATCTGCGAAGTTCAAATCGTCCAGCTGCATCCGAGCTGTCCACTGTGTGCCGTACTTACTCT